GAATGCCAACCAAGGGAGTCGGGCAGAAGAGACAAGACTGGCAAGGAAGAGCATAAACAAGCCTGTCGACAGGAGAGGACCAAGGCAGTCAAAAGGAAAAGGAAGTTTTTCTAGAAGAAAAATGCTGTCCATGGCAGGCGGCACCTCGGTCAAGTTGAGGACCGGCCACTGGCCACTGGATCCAGCAACATGGAGCCAGCAGAATCTGAGCTGGACGTGGGGGCCGGGGACCAGTCAGGGCAGACTTGGGAAGTGCAGGACAAGGGTGCAGGGGGAGCCGCGGGGCAGTGTCCTGTCAGTGCCAGCGTACTCAGCACGCCGCAGACCGAGGTTGGGCATGACATGCCGGCCCTGGACCTGGGAGGTGCACCCAAACTAGAAAAGCAGGACGGCAGTGATGGGAGCCTGCAACGCCCCCCTTGAACGGGGGCAACACGCCACGAACAAAGGTTTACGCAAGGGTAATCGACATCGCGATCGATTCCAGAAAGGTGCGTCTGCCTCCAGATGCGTATGAACTCCATTTGCTTTGATTTGACTTCATGCATAATTCATTCCTGGCTCCTCTGACCTGCCTGCTTTCATAACCTCAGCAGTTCTCAGAAACTTGCCTCCGCTTCTAAAGTGCATCCTCCATGCCCTGACGAGCAGGAAGCACTCTTCAGGCAGCACACAGAAAAGGGCGCGTGCTCCCCTATTCCACCCCGCGGCCACTGCTGGGAATGCGCTGTAAGGAGCAAACCAGAGACACAGCCTCGGAGATGGACACGTGGGAGCTCATCCCAGGGACACGAAGCTCGGCCATAAAGCACGGTTAAGTACATGACGTCAAAGCCCTGACAGCAAACGCCACGTGGGGCAGGGTTAAAGCCATCAAGAGTGAAAAAGGCGGGACGAAAAGTCAAATGTAACTTACAGTCTCAGTCTCCCAGAACCGCTATACCTTTCATCTTTCCCTCAGTCACAAGTACTCACAGAGCACCCGGGAAGCCAGGCCCTGCGCCCTGGGAAGGCGCTGCTGAGGCCTAGGCAGGTCACTTGGGTGTTGCAATTACACGTGATAATTCTTTCTTTTTTTTTTTAAACGTTTTTGCCATAAGGCATATGCATTCACCAAGAGAGACCCCGGGGGTGCTGGCCACACTGCAACCCACTCGCCTCTCCAGGTCTGAAGCACGCATGTACGTGCACCGGCGGTATTTTGAAACCAGGTCTGGGACTCAAACCAGAAAATCCAGTGCCTTAACCACCACGCCACCTGCTGGGCCCTCTGTGCTTCTTTAAAAATACAAATTTCTATTTCTAGTACTTTTTTTTTTTTTTAAGGTCTTTGTCATAGGGGAGAGAGACAGTGAGAGAGAAAGTGAAAAGTCACCCCCCAGGGAAGGAGGGCCACTCCACAGTCGCTTCTCCTCTTCTCTCCTCCTGGGGTTTGGAGCACAGAGGAACACGGTGTGATCACCTAGCGTGATTTTCAAGTCACCAGGTTCCGGACCTGAGCCACGGTTGGCCACGTGGGAATCCAGCCACCTTAGCCACCACACCACCTGCTGGCTCTCTATTACTGTTTTTGAGAGAAAATGATGCAGTGCTTTTAAAAAAGAACCTGAGTAAGTTGTGTGGGGGAAGGGAGCAGAATCTGCATTTAGCCCAGAAGGATACAAGAAAAAAGCTGAGGAGAAAGCAAATGGGCCACGCCCCCCAGGACGGGCCAGCTGGCAGCCTGCCCGGGCCTCTGCCACTCTAGGCAAGCTCAGCTCCACCCACCCCTGCTAGGGCCCC